AAGTTTTTACTAAAAAAGAAACAAAAAAAATGAGGATTTTGAAGGGTGTGAATGATTTGTGAAGACTATGGGCTCACTTGGAGGGACGACTCCAGAAAGATTGTTGTTTTGGACGTCAAGGGCTTGTAACGAGGCGCTATTGGCGAGTGTATCGGGAATTTGGCCTGAAAGTTGATTGGAGCCCAAGTGCAGCCTTTTCAAGGAGTGCAAATTTCCTAGGCTTGAAGGGATTGGCCCTGTTAGCTTGTTGCTTTCCAAATTCAGGACGTTCAGGTTTTTCAAGGATCCCATTGAAGAAGGTATGCTCCCTGTTAATTGGTTGTGACTTAGCTGCAGCACTGCAAAATTTGTAGAATTTTAGTTACTAAATGAAGTTTTAAAAAGAACAAATAACTAGCTATAGATTTTGTTGATTTCAATGATAAGGGTATTCAAAGATAACAATTTTTTAATTAAAACATTAAAGTTGTTCAGTATCTAACAAAAAAGGGTTAAAAAAAAAGAGAGAGAAAGAGATCAAGAAATTATGAAGAATTTAGAATACAAATAAAACTTTAAACAGATTTCACTCAACACCAAGCAAGCTTCCACTTAACCTTTATCATTAAGAAGAAACACACAATGACACAACACAGGGCCAGAGAGAGAGAGAGAGAGAGAGAGAGAGACAAACAGAGACCTTGAAGACTAGCCATATTTCCAATCTCCGGTGGTATAGTCCCAGTCAAGTCATTCAAATTGAGATACAGATCCGTCAACTCAGTGAGTTGAGCAATCGCGACCGGGATCCCTCCACTCAGCGAGTTGTAGTGCAGGTAAAGACCCGACAGGCACCTCAGCTCCGCCATGTCGGAAGTCAACTTTCCGGTGAGCCCTTTACCCTGCAGCGAGATGTTGACCACCCTCCCGTGCTCGTTGCAAGCAACTCCGACGAACGTGCCGCCGCACGGTTTTCCTTTGGCGGCCCACGACGAGAGGCGCTTGTTCACAGGGTCCAATGCCGACTTGATTTTCATCAACGAGCCCACCTCCGTATGGCCCGGCGCCAGTTTCACGCAGCAGTTACCGCAAGAAGCAAGGCCGGCGAGAATCAGGAGGAGAAGGAACAGGGGATTCGGCAAGTCCTGCATTTTTTTTTTTTTCCCTTTCTTCTTATTTTTCTTGGGACTTTAGTTTTTTTTTTCTTCTGATTGTGAGGGTGATTGAAATCTGCAGACTACAGGCGCAGATTCTTTTTTTTGGTCAGAGGTGGTTTTTCAAGAATCAAGACTTTTGTTTACCGCATGATATTTCAACTTTGGGAAAATCCGGAGAAGAAAAAACGGAGCTTTTTGGATTATTTGGAATTTTGTTAATCTGAGCTGAAAAAAGAAGGCTTGATTGGTGTTCTTTTGGGGGGAAGAGCTGTGTGTTAGACTTTGGAGGGTATAAACACATGCATGCACATTCTATAGTTTTTTATTTTATTTTATTTTATTAATTCCTTTTTTTTTTTGTATTTATATGGAAAGTTTGGTGTCATATGCAATTGCACCAGAATAATTTTCAGTGTTATTATATCAAAAAATTCAACTTCTATTTGTTTTTTAGTATGTTTCATTGTGTAAATAATCCAAATCTCCTATCAAAAAAATATAAATTATTACATGAGTGAGTCTTAACTATTAAATGAGTCTACCCATTATACTTAGCAAACTTATATAATAGTGTAAAAAATTTTATTTACAAAAATTAAGTTATATGTAGTGTTGTTAAATTAAACGAACCTGGCTCGGCTCGACTCGAGCTCGGCTCGTTTGAGATTCGAGTTCAGCTCGAGTTCGAGGCCTTAACAAGCCGAGCTCGAGCTCATTTAAAGCTCGTTAAGGCTCGAAAATAGAATTTTTATATAATTTTTTATAGTTCGGCTCGTTAAAGCTCGAGCTTGGCGAGCTTGAGCACCCTAAGCTCGAGCTCGGTTCGGCTCGTTAACAGTTCTAGTTATGTGTTATTCCAATTTCATAACGTACATATATGTTGAAATATAATTGTTCAATATTTTCAAGACCAAAATTTTCAACAATTGTTCCATTTTTTAATATTTCCATTGAGAACATGAGAATTAAGTTTTACAAACTCAGCATGAGACAGCCTGTCGGCGTGATGTATATTATAGTATATTATATTTTAACAGTTATTTTTTTTTTTTTTTTTTAACGAAATGGCTCTATAGTTAAAAGTTAAGTATTTAACTAATAAAACGGCTCCATAGAACTAATGACACATTATGGAATAGTAGGTATATATAATAATGATTGATTAAGTTACTTGTAATTAAAAATGAAGAAGAAAAAGAAATGTGTGAAGCTACTCATTATAAGATGTCCAAATTTTCTATTGGAACAGACTATTTTTCAAACATAAATAAAATATATATATATATATATATATATATATTATTTTCTTGGTCTAAAAGTGTAGATATTATATAATGCAAATAAAAAGTAGAGAGATTCTAGTGTTTTGTTACGGAATTATTTCATCGGATTTGTAATCGTTAGATCAACCATTCACAGCAATTACATGATGATTTAACTATTACAAATCTCGACGAAATAGTTCTGAGACTGTAGCATTTCTCTAAAAAGTTTAATTTGTCAACGAGTTGCCTAATTATAAGAAGGGTGCCCAAGTTAATGATGGACCGATAGAGAGAGGGAGCCAGAGAGGCGTTGGACTAATTATTCATTATCTTTTGAAAAAATAAAATTTATCGTTTTTTCGCATGATATTATATAAATAGAAGGTGTCTATTATTATTTTTAATATATATATATATATATATATATGGACATATAATTATTTTTTTAATTTTGTATATTAATTTCAACTCAATAGTTCTTTTCTATTGAATATTTTATTATCAACTGCTTTTATATTCATACTAGTACAATAACCGTGTATTACACGGGTTTTTGTTAAAAAATTATTCTTAAATTTTAAAATTAATGAGAAAACTATATTAAATTTAGTTTACTTTTTTACCAAAAAAATATACTATATATTTTAGAATGATATGTGTCACTTATGACTCACATTTGTTATATTATATTAGTTTTATAACTTATATCATATAACTACTTGAAGTATAAATATATTAGTTGATAAATAATTTTATTTTTTTAATTAATATTAAAAATAATTTTATTATTGTTATAAAGATAAATATAAATTTTTTTTTATACATATAATATAGATGTTAAATCAAAGCTCATCAAAAGAAGATTAATTTGATATATTACATATATAAAACTGATAAAAAATACAAAAGCTATTAACTTTTAAAATATATATACAATTCAATAGTTATAATAAGGAATTATATTAAAATTCAATTAATACATGTAACATGACTATAAATAATCAACATATTTATGGTAATCCGAACATAGTTATTTTTTGTTTGGAATTAAATTAAAATTTACCAAACCTAATAACGAAGCATGTAATTTTGCCACAAGGATTCCGAAGCACCAAAAGCAGCCACGTAGGCTCAGCGCGTTCTGGATTAATATATAGGGGATACTGTTTTACGGTATATTTAATTGAGTATTCAATAGTTCTTTAATAATTGTGATAAAAGAAAAATTAATATGCCCTAATTTTAATTTTAACTTCATATCGTATATAAATATTTCCTACTTAATAAAAGAGCTACTCTTGAATAATACTTAAAAAAATGGAATCAGTATTGTCTCTAAAGTTAAAATATAAAATATATGGTACATAACAACAATAATAGAATTGTGAATTAATATGAGACGGAAATTCCAAAGTTTAACAGTACTCACCGTCGATTTTAATAATTGCCATCATCGATTATTTATGTTTTTCAACTTCTTACAAAATTTTATTTCTGCACATACTAATCTAAAATCAAAAAGCCCCTAGCTTGAAAGCAATCATTATAAATTCTATTAATAATAGCTTAATCGTTGATTATATGGTTTTTTAAAATGATTATTTATTGGAAATACTTCATAAATTTTTCACTAATTTTGTTTAATTACACCGATGGTCATTTCAACCATAATTGGTTCAAATATTGTGGCAGAATTAGAAAATATTTTTTTCAATTGATAATTAATGAACTAAATATCAATAAAAAAATCATAAATGATCACTACTTACCAACCTATTTAGATGGTAAATAAGAACTGTTTGAACCATATGTTGTAAATTCATTGGCCTAGTTGGTCTAGTTTGGCAAGGTCTGAGACCTTAGGGCCTTCAATGAAGCCTTGCTTGTACAAATGTGGAGGGTCTTACCATGTCAAATTTACTTGTGAGTAGGCCCGGCGGGTCGACGGGTTAGGTATACGATGTCAAACCCAAGAATGTGGATTCTTGGTCATGGAAAAACTGACTTGGGAGTGGGCCCGGCGGGTCGACGGGTTAGGTTTCATGGACCCTGAACTCGCACGGACCTAGGTCGTGCCGGGTCCATGGCCCGAGCCCGACCCGGGTCTGGCCGGTCTAAATAGAAAAAAAAGAAAAGAAAATATTTAAAAACAATGTATTTTTTCTGGGCTGGATCGGGCCATGCCCGAATCGTCGGGCCAGGGTCGACAAAAACAAGGTCCTAGACCGGGCCCAGTTGAAATCCGAGCTGGGCCCAGACTCGTGGTCAACGGGTTTGACTGAGCCAGATCCGTGCCAGGCCGGGTGACCCGTGACCACGTCTAACTTGGAGTGAGGAATTATGTCAGTTTAAGAGCTAAATTCCAAATTGGGGGATGTAAATGTTGTGGATATTTGGGAAGATCTTTGGATTTCTTCTTTTAAACCATGTTGTTCCTTTCAAGGGGAGATAGAGTTGGGTTAGAAAAAGTTACTGAGTTGATTTGCAAGGTGAGTGGTGAGTGGGATAGAGAGTTAGTGTTGCAATCTTTAGATTTCATGGTTGCTCGAGCTATTTTGAATATCCCCTCGAGTCATCATGGAGTCAAAGACAAATTAGTTTGGCATTTCAATAAGTCATACATGTTTTATGTGAAGTCTACTTATATATGAAGCTATTAAAACACCTGAACTCAATAAGTTTAGGGCAATGCTATATGTACACCCCCTTTTAATAAATTACACAAAGAAAAGTGCTATATGTACACCCCTTTTTTACACACAAGGGGGTGTACATATAGACACCCCCTAAGTTTATATGTGTTTACTATTAGTCATATCATACATTCGAATTTCTTCATCATGTATCAGAGGCGGACCTACATAGGGGCCCGTAGGGGCACGGGCCCCTATAGAATTTTTTAGTAATATAATATATATAAATGTATTATTATAGACATTACAAAATACATGTTATTAATTATTTTGCAAAGTTATTTCAATATAAAAAAAATAAAAATGTAATGTTTAGAATTATTTAACCTTCAATAGTATATATGATATACTCAACTTCTTGTTTATTTCATTTTTCCTCAAAAAAATACATAAAAAAAATATTATACATAAACGTATATACTATATAGGGATTGGATCGAATGTGTCCCTATTCTTAAAATTAGAATGTGAGACTCATCCATAGTTATTAAATAAGAAACAAGATATTTGGTCAAGATTTAATATTTTTAATCTTTTAATTGGTTAAATATTGATTTGACTGTTGACCTTCGGCGTTGACCATTGACCGTAATTTGTGCCCCCGGTGCCCTAAGTGTCTGCGTCCGCCCCTGCATGTACTTATTGAATGACTACCAATTAAACTTATTGAATGACTACCAATTAATAAACCAAATAAATAAGATCAATTTTTTAAAAAAAAAATACAAGTATTATAGAGTACATTAATTTAAGTTGAGGTATACACAACATTGGGATACCTTAGTCTACGGTGGTTCCACCTGCTAGGAGAAGACAAAAGATTAAGAAAAGATTAGAAAACTATTATAGCTAATCTCTCCCGCCAATCACGTCGTGATTATGTTTGGAAAGTTGACTTTGATGCCATGGAAAAAAATGGTCAACAAATTAGAAAAAAAAAAGTGTGCCAAACTAAAAATGTTTGCAACCTAACCAGATTATTACATAAAGAAAATTGTTAGATTATTCATCAGTTTTATATAAATATCACATTCGATTCATCCGGTGGTACAAAATTATCGAATAATACAAATTTAACTACAAAAACTCTTGCGTAAGTCTGCCTGGTTGTTGGGTGATCGACCTATGATACTGTATGAACAAACTAAATGCATATTTATACTATCAAAATGCGTATATCTATTTATATTGCTTTATAAAGTATAATATTTTGTGAATTAGTACGGTATATTAGTTAGGCTTAATGTATAAATTATTTTTAATTGATTATTGCTAAAATAGTAGAATTATTATTTTCTCAATTAGGATTGATAAATAATACTTTTTATTTAGAAGGTAGATATAATGTTTCTTCTCCCTTCATACGAGGGTTATTATAAGGGTGAGGATATTACATATGAGATAAAATATAGGATAATGCTATCTTGACAAGTATTTTGGTATTAATGTCAATATTGATGTAAAAGAGAATGAGTTACTTTAAAATTAATATTATGTGATGCTATATGCCAAATTTTATGTCATCCATTATATTCATAAAGCTTGGTCACGAAACAAGATGAAATAATTAATAATTTTTTAATCATATCCATTAAAATAAATGTCAAACTAAAAATCATCAAATGATGATATTTTATATATTTAATATGGGTATCAAACAGAAAATCTTAAAAAGATTAATTTAATAAATCATATATAAAAACTTATAACAAATAAAAAAAATATATATTTTCAATTTAAGCTACCCACATGTTCTATAGTTTTAAAAGTCTCATCATAAATGTCCAAACTAATAAAAGTCACAAAAAATATAACTAATATAAAGCACACAAAATTAACTCATAGATTGAAATGCTGACATAGGAAAGCACTTACCTTTTACCACAGAGCACAATTGCACTCAGAAGAATAAAAATCCTTTTCATCCAAAGCAAATGGGATGTTGCTATCAATCAAACACATCTTTTGAAGGCCACCAGCAAGCAGTCCCTTTTAACCCTTTTCCCCCCGAAAATTTTGGACTGCTAAAGCAGCTTCAAATTTCAATTGTCATTCAACACTAGACAGAGTACACTCCTTCTCATACGAAAATGACACACGAGACGCGACATAGACACGACACGACATTACAGAGACCATAGTGTACAAACAAATTACATCAAAAATCCGGAGTCCAACACTATACTTGCAAATTCATGTACACGTTGTCGAAGTGATTACGAAGCAAACTAAGAACAATATACTCAAACGCGAAGTTCAAGTTAGAAGCTAGAATAGTTTTCCCATTCTCCACAGCTTCTTCTAGCAAAAGAGTCACCAGGCGATCACCGTTGTAATTAGGTAAATAAGCATTGCTCAGGTGTAGGCTATCAAAATGACCCGAATCAGGACCCTCTGGAACCAAAAGTGGCCCTTTTGTGTCTTCCGGACCACCTGGCCCATCATCATCTACTCTATCATCCTCTGGTGAGTCATCGGTATCTCGTTTTCTGTCATTTTGGTCACTCGAACTTCCACCAGAATCATCCTTTGGGGTGCTAGGGACCCGGGGCTCAACTCCAACTCGTCTTAGGTGCAGCTGTTAATGAGACGCATGCGATATGTGAAGTGCGAGTTTGACCAGTTTTAGTATATGATTATAGCAATTAATGCAATGAACCCCTCTAAAAGGAACCAGTGACCACAGAGAAATACAAAATAAAGGAATTCTTCTAAAACTAAAATTTAAAATCAAACGTAAATAGATAAAACTTCTACCTGGAGATGAAGATTTACTTCATCTGGTCGTGAAAGAAAAGGAAAATCACCACCAGACTTTAGATAGGCTTGTCTAGCACCGGGGTATCTTTCAGTTACTTGATCTTTAAGTTGTTGGGGGATGGCACAGAAATCATTTGTCTTCAAGGAAAGGATAATCACCACAAGAAAAACAATAATCAACGAGAAACGTTCATTGTTTATGAAGAGCGAGAGGCGAGAGCAAATCTCAAGATTCGAGGGAATGATGTCATCACGTCTTCAGGCATATTATCATCTATACGTTAATTGATAACACTTACATCCATTATAGTGATTAAAGAATCTGAAAGCAAAAGAGGTCCAACTGATGCTGCATCGACCGTTAAACTGAGTCTTGAGGCCAAATCGTCTCTTGAAAGTGTCTCGACCTGCAGGTCAGTATTTTCAGCTCCTTCAAACATTGCAAATCTTATATTACACTTTCGTGATAATAAAACAAGACTCCTATAACATTTCCCATTTTCAGTTGTTCAAAAAGAAACAGAAATATGACTAAACAATGAAGCAAAAGTGTGTGAAAAGAACTTGGAGCTAGAACAAGATCTTACAGGAAATATCATTGCCTAATATGCTAATCTACTTATTGTTGGATAGATTTAATTTCCCACTGATAAGTGTTCATCACTTCTTGTACTGGGTTCGTCTACTATCATAGCAATAAACTCCATATCCTATAACCAAGCAGTCTGATTCATTACTCCTATCGGAACTGTGTGAAAATACTATGTATAGAGAGAAGAGACGAACATATGCTTTAGTAGTATTATGAACGACTCAAGAAAAGAAGTTTTTACAGATCCATGAAGAACGTCTACCTGAGCAACAACAAAATCCACGGAATCTGCAATGAAGGGTTCGTGAGGACCATCACGGATTCCAGTTAGAACATATCGCTTCAGTAGAAATGAAGGTGTCCAGCCTACACTGTCAAAATGTTGGTCTCAAAGTCAGTAACTAACCTAAAATTGATGAGGCTGATACTTCTCAAACCAAAATGATGAAGAATACAGAACAGTAGCATGATACATCACTTGAAAATAAATGTAATCTTATAAACAAAATAATAATATGGATGAAACAGAAGTATGAAACTACTCCAAGTATCATGGCCAGCAAGAATAACTTGCCCAATAGCCAATGTTATTACAAAATAAATCTTTTTTTACTTGTCTTATTGACAACTCTCTCCTATAAACTAAAGCACAACTAATATAAGATGGTAATAAAAAATAAAAGGGGCAAGAAAAATTAATAGCATTTTAGGAATAATAAATCAGTCAAAGTCCCTAAAGATTAAATACCAATTAATATCCCAAATTTTATTATAAGATGTTCTAAAATTAATATCCCTCCACTCTTTTCTCTCTATCGTTGCTGCCTGCCAGAAAAACGACCACTGAAATGAAAAAAAAAAAAAGGCAGAGTAAATGGCAAAACTACACGACCCTTGTTCTTTTTAACATTGACTATTTCAATGGGGCCACGAGTGTCTTCATGCAAGCTGGATCAATGAATTATCTGCTTCCAGTCCAAAGTTGAAGAAGAGAAGGCATCAAGTATCAACCATAATTTGTACAGCCTTAAGTGTTTGATAATTGCGAGGATACTGCCCCAGAGAAAGGAAATCTTCATTGGTAGTGAAAAAATCCAAATGGGGTCGGGTACCTCGGCAGGCCCTGAAGCCGACCAGAACCCGTGGAGAGGAAGTAGAGAGATTTGATTTGCAACCACTTTCAAATTTCAAATCTTTTGGCATGGAGTAGACAAGGGATTGACATGATTGGCATGGAAGGTGTTGCTGGCTTCAATGCGGTGCTTGGTTGAAAATAATTGTGTGACCAACTCCATAAGATTGGTGATGGCTTCCTCGACATTAGTGAGTCGGTGTTCGAATACTTCCTCAAACTTCTTCTCCTTGCATCAACTAGGGCCCCTTGCATCAATTAGGGATTCCAAACTTTTCTACTTATTTAGAAGGTTATAAGAGTAAAAGATTAAGAAAGAAAAAAATACGTAATTTTATTAATAAAATGCTATATTAATATATAAAAAAACTAAGGATATACCTTAAATAGTAAGGAAAATCCCGCCTAAAACTTTTATTTTTAGGAAGTTTTTTTTAAAGAGATTTGAATTGTGCTGCCTTTGAAACATATATTTTCGTTTGCAATCAAACTATTTAAGTCAATCACAAAATCCATAAAGATTGAACTATTTACACAAAATTCATAAATATTGTTATGAATGTTTCGAAAAAAATCAAGAACATAAAGTTCATAAGATAATTTAAATTATGCTTCATTTAAAACCCGTTTGAATACCAAGTTTCATCTGACAATTTTACTTATACTTCATTTAAAACCAAGGTTCTGAAAACCAAATCGGTCATCGAACCAGTTAAGCTACCAGTGCAATGGTTCATTGGTCGGACCAAAACCGGTTTAATTAATATATAATTTTTTATTTGTTTTATATGTATAATGTATAATTGTATATATTTTTAATAGTATATAATGGCATTTCTTTAAATAGAGTTCAATAATATCCTATTTGTATTTTATCATAAAAAAATACTAATTTTCGATACAACTTACAACTACACGTTAGCAATTTGTATTTTAATTTTTAAATCGATTTTTAATTTTATTTATTTTTTCACTTTTCATTATGTAAAGAATAAAAAATTAAAAATATATTTTAAGCTTTGATTTTGATTAAAATTTAAAAATTGCTACACATGTATGTTGGAATGGTGCATAATAGTCATACAAAGACTAATGAAAAAAATAATGAAATGGTGCATAATAGTCATAATAAGACAAAAATAGAATAGAAGAATAAAAGGATGATGATGGAGCATTTCAGGATTCGAGAACCGGACCGGTCAAAAGCAAAGCACAAAATCCTACCATTGCACCACACGCCCAGCTATTGCTTGGTAGACAGAGATTATTTTTGTAGTAAAAAAAAGGTCCAAAATTGTAAACTGCCGAACCGGGTGAACCGTGACCGGTTTTCAACTGGTTCGAACGGTTCTTGACCGTTTTGGGGCCTAGCAGTTCAATACCCTAAACCGAACCGATGTTGTGGCCGGTAACCGGTCGAACCGGCCGGTCTGGTCCAGTTTTCAAAACTCACCTAAATCTGGCTAAAAACCATTAACACATTTAAAATCGTGTGTATATTTTGTCATAAATTAATTTTGTCATCATACCATGTTTAAACTTTAAATACTAATATATCATAGAAACTAATTAAAAATTATACCTCATTCAAACCCATCCAAATTTGTCCAAACATATCATGTTTAATTGTATATATATAAAACATTTTTCAAATACAAACATCATATCATATTAAACCGTGTATATCTACATTTTTCAAATACAAATTTTATGAAATCATAATTTTAGTGGATTTTATTCAAAATTGAGATACTTATTAAGTATCATAAAATATACAAGTAAAAATATATGTGTGATTTATTTAAATTCATTTTGATAAGAAATCTTTATTTCGTTTAATTCTTAAGATCATTAATGAAGATTCAATACGCGAGTGAATTGTATATATGAGATAATGGAAGTGTATTTCATGACATATATAAACAATTTTATTTCGTTATATTATATAATTAAAATTGTATGGTGATATAAATGAGTTTCTTATTTATTTTATTTTATATAGGTAGTAGCACAATTGAGATGTTTTTAGACATGTTTTCAACAATAGTTTAGAAAATTTGGGTCATTTCACACAATAATATAGAATCATTTAGGATATTTAACACGTGTTATATGGAATTTTTAGGTAATTTTAATATTTTAGATATACGTGTTTTATATGCTTATAAAAAAAAGAATCATTTATCAATTATGTAAGAATGGTTAGCATTTTAAATTCCAAAAAATTAATAATGTACGGTAAATTGTAATACATGTTAGTTCCACATTTTTAATTTATAAGTATTATTTAGCATATTTACCCGTGCATCGCACAGAATCCGTACTTGGATTCTAGTTAGAGATGAACAAGAAGTGCTTCTTCAGGTCCCTCTACCCAAAACAACTTGCCCAATAGCTTATGCTATTACAACATAAATCTCTTTGTACTTATCTTATCAACCACTCTCTTATACACTAAACTATAGCTAATATAAAAAGGTAACAAGAAATAAAAGGGGCGAAAAAATAATAGCATTGAAGGAATAATAAAACAACCAAAATTCCTAAGATTAAGCACCAATTAAGATCACAACAATTATCATAAGCCACAAGATATTCTAAAATTGATATTTTCCGTCTACTTTTATGTCTATCACATAATTTGGACCAAATCCAAACTACATGCGATCACGAGTCGAATTACTGCCAGGTAGTACCGCATTTTACAAGTGCAAAAGAATAACATAATGTGGTGAGTTGTAGAAGGTATGTTTGCCAACAAACCCAAATCTTTATTCAACAAATGCAATCAAGCATTTCAATTTTTCAAGTATACAGCCTTGAGCAAGTTAATGGTGGAATTTTTTGTAGCATCTTTACTTCTAGAAATAAAAATATGGGCAAATTTCTTTTACACCCCAACCGGAAGATAATTCAATTTTTCACCCCCGCTAGCTAAAAATCTAACTTTTCCACCCCGAAAAATGCGACGGTTATTCGAATGATTTGCATAACTGTCACATATCAGTTGTATAACCGTCATATAACTATCGCATATTCACATTAGAAAGTGCGAAGATTCACATTAGAAAGTGAGAAGGGTTATGCAAATGCCTTCGCATTTTTAACTTTCGCACAATTGTCGCATAATTACCGCATAATGCTTCTACACTTTTTGGGTGAAAAAGTTAAAGTGAAAAACGTATTCATTTTTCAGAACCAGGTGTAAATAAATATTTCCTCTATAGATATTATAACATTAGATACAAACTTAGTAAGGGAACAAATAATAAGATCATAAGGACATACATTGAGGCCCACGGCATGGCTGCAGCAAAACTAGCTGTCTCCAAGAATGTATTTGAGAGAACCAACGATTTAACTCTCCGTGGGCGATGTTGAGCAAAAAGCTGAGCTAGGAAGCCACCAAGTGATGTACCGTAAAGATGTATCTGCGAAATATGAGCAATTATATCTCTAAGTTGACTACTAAAGTGGAGATATTACTTGAACACCATCATACAAAGTTTGGATACTTAACTGCTTGTTTGGGCAAAATTTTCAAATGAATTTTGGATGTGGAAGTTCATATGAAAAATAATTTTCCTAGTAGCAGTACAAAACCCAGTGTAATGCACATGAATGTTAATTAAGAAATTTTATACTTGCATAGTTCTAAAAAAAATAAAAATACATCTTTTTATATAAAAATATTTTAATATTTCTTGAAAATTAAGGTCAGACTTGGTAAGTGAGTTCCAAGACAGAAGTGGTCAAGGTGACAAAGTAGGCTCCACGCGAAAGGAGAGGTGACGAAGGAAAGCTAAATCATAAAGACAGGGGTGCCTTCGGGACGCGAGAACACGTGGAAAATGATACCATTTCCGTAAGACTTGCTCGTCCTATATAAGACAATTTTCCTAACTAATACTCCCTCCATTTAAAATATATGCCGTTTGAGTTTGTAACCTTTTGGTTTTTTAAATGTCGTTTTAGATGTATTAATTCATTTTTTTTTTTATCCTTATCAAAAATTCCAAAAAATCTCATATTTGATTCTCACTGAAAGAACTCATGCAAAAGTAAGGAGACAAATTACATAACAAAACAATACTGATAACTTCCACACAAGGAGAGACAGGGAGAGTATAATTATAAAAGAAAAAAACTATTAAAATTGAATATAAGAGATTTAGGAAAAATCTTATATAAGGATAAAATAATTCAATTTTTGTAAATTTTTGTAATTATGCTTTTTAAACTAAAACGACACATATTGTGAAACAGAGGGAGTATCACTTAAAAGGTTTGGTAGATAAATTTATTTAATTGATATACAATAATTTATTATTATTTTTTAATTAAGATTGATATATAATTTATTTTATAAAGGTAGAGATAAGTATTTTTTTTATATATGCTATATGGATGTCATGTCCATTGCATATGGAGCTGGAAGAGTCATTGTTGACAATTCTCCTGACATAGTGCTAATAATGGACTATATCAAAATGGCTCAATTAAATTCTAGTGCTTCTTCTATTAGTGAAGTTTCTAGAAAAAAATATATCAAACGACGCAACGCACTTTGGGTCGCTATGGACACAACCTCCTTGTATGATTACAAGGGTAAGGTCTGCGTACAACTGACCCCCCAGACCCCAACCTGTTGGGAATATACTGGGTATGTTGATGTTGATGCTATATGGATGTCGAATCGGATATCGTCAAAATATTAACCAATTTGATATATCATATAAGAAAAACTGATAAAAAGGTAAATTAAATTACTAAGCATTAAAATATATTCATAATTAAAACTAGTAAAGTGTTTCGGAATTTTTAAAGTCCTAACACTGATAAAAGTCGACATCCACATACACTGTTACCAGAAACAGAAACAGAAACAGACAAATAGAACTACAAAGCACTAAAAATTGAGATATAGGATTACAAAGCGCAAGATTTGATGCATAGGTTCGAGAAACTCTACATTTATATGTACCAAGAGATCTTTGGTGATTTATTTAGCTTGCACTCTCGAATAAGTCACCCTATTTAAAAATCCATTCTAAAAAAGTTGAAGTTGGAGGTTTTTTTTTTTTTTTTTTTTCTGAGAAGTCAATGCTAATTTTTTTAGAAGTGCTATAAAACAAGCTTTCAGTCTTTTGATGCCCTACCATATCAAGGAAAATAAGAAAACGCAAGAAAACAAGCATAATTTGAAGCCAATATTTTAAGCAAATAATGAATTAAATATCATGGGAAATAATTGATGGTGCATGAAACAGAAATCCAGAAAAGCATTTTTCAATCAATGATCAGTAATACAAAAAGAAGAAGGACAATACCGATCAAAAAAAAAAAGAGGAAGAGGAGGAGGGGGAGAGCCAACAATTAGTAATACAAAAGAAGAAATAAGATTGATTCATGATCTTTTATAGAAGAACACAATTAAAATATAATATAATACAAAAAAACCATAAGGAAATCTTACATGATGAACATCAATAGCATCTAAAAACTTCTCAAAAGCTTGAATCCACTCATGGTTGTTCCATACACGAGGAATATCAACTGAAATGACACGATAACCCTGAAATATCATGGAAAGTCACCACAAGAATGTTTTAAGTTGACAGTTGTAGCATTACAATGAAATAAAATGTTATAAAATGGTAGGACACGTTCATCTCAAACTTAAATCTAATATTGAAACAAGTGAAATGTTAGACCATACTCAAATCAAGGGAACGTAAAAGAAGTAACAATTTAAAACCATTGTCACTCAATACCTTCATTGAGAGTGACATAACTTGTTTGTAGTACACATCTGCAGTTCCAGCTGTACCAGGTAGACATATTAGTGGGGGCACTACTTTTGGGCCAAAATCATAATACCGCCATTGCTTTGATCCAATCTACAGCAGATGTTGGGGGAAATGGTTAGACAGTTCCTACAATCCATACTTGTCAAAAGAGTTAAAAAAATGCCTCAAGTTCTTGGCATGAACAATGGTAATAATAAGACAGACTAAAACATCGAATAAAACTGGTCACATTAGTGCTCTATTACCAGAATTCCTGAAAATGTGTATACGACTGAAAACCAAGGTAGACTCCTCATTGTCCCCGCAGAAGCCAATACTCATCAATGAGTAAATTATAAAATTGCTAATCAATTGATAATTCATGAATGAAAACCCGTAATGCCCTTTTCTGTTCGAATCCATACCCAACTTGATTTTCATGCTTATCGCATATACTTCAGCCCAAAGATGACTCAAAAAATGCATTCATGATAAATGACATGATGTGTTTTACTCATGATTGCTCATCTTCTTAAGATATACATAATTCCCTCATCTTTCAGTTTAGGTCGGCCCTTTATAGACCTCATTAGATATCATTTATATAAACCATCCCATGGAATACACGAGTGATCCTAGACACTACTCGGAAGCATTGTCCAATGTCAGCCTTCTCAGCCTCAAGCATCTAACAAGTCTCTTCTATGTACATTTGAGTTCAAAACACATCCTACTGCAAACATTTACTGAAAACAAGATTACTGGCCAACGAAAAGCCAGTAAATATCTTAAGTTAAATTGATAACAAATCAATACAAAAAGACAAATAAAATACAAAACTCAGGCCTATGATCTAGAATTAACAAAGGTATAAGACATATAGTTGAAACTAACTGTTCCTTGGGCAACATAAGCAAGAAAAAATACGATTTAAAATATGAAATCAAGCATGCCCAGTTGGTGAACAGAGCTAAAGAGCCCAACCAATTACACAAACTACCAAATAATGGGAAATAATCGAATCAATTGAAATTTGGCGTAAAAGGGATAGGGTGAATGGGACATACAGGGATCTTGTGAAGAGGGACCTGAGACTTGAAATAAACGTAATCGCCGGGCGCCGTGAAGACGCCTTTCATCGCCGACTGCAAGGCTGGTTGTTATAAAAACATAAACATGAAGATGACAATTAATTTTCGGGGAAACCTCCGATTGTCTTTTTCTAGCTCGCCGGAGGTTCAATTCACGGGCAGCTGGAATTTCAGATTTTGACGGGCAATTTTATCGCAGAAAATTTTGAGGTCCGTGATGTTGATTCTGGAGCAGTTGATCTGTGAGATTTGATGAATGGGATGAAAAAAAGAAATGACAAGCCACGTGGGAGTGGGGCCTCCTTTCTCTTTGCCAAGTCAAAGCCCGTCAAACAAAACAGTAAATGGCCCAATTGACATAATTGGCTTCCTGAAAATTAAACATTCTATAAAGGTACTGCATTACCATGACTAGTACAGTACCCGTGCGATGCACGGGAGCATTATTACTTATTTTATTTTTAAAATGTATTTTTGTATTTAAATTATCTCATGACATTAAACATATCAAGAAAATGAAATTTATATAATATTGATCACTTTCTTATGTACAACATGCTTATGATCACTTTCTTATGTACAACATGCTTAGTTTGATTTTTTGGAACGTAAAATACTATATGAGTGTTCACATTTTATCTAATATCATGTATTATTAGTCATTAATTAACAAATTATATTTAAAAAAAATTAAGAGATCTCATTTATTAAACAAAATTCTAGTAGAAAGAAAGTGGAGATTTTTAGGGTTTTTTCACACGATTTTTTTATTAATTATAATTCAAAATTTCGATTAAGTAAAATTGAAAAGAATCATTAATTTTTCCTAAAATGAAAACAATTTTCCTAACCAATACACCGACTTTTTTTCCCAAACTATCCGAATGTTTAGTTAAAACAAAGTGAAAAGAATCATCAATTTTTTCAGAAAATGCAACCGAATTTTCCTAACATTGCAACGATTTTTTTTACTAAACAAATTGAACTGAAATTAATCTATACTAATATTTGGTCGGAATATTTTGTTAATATTAATGCAACTGTTTCTTTCTTAAAAAAGTTGATATGAACTTAACCAAAAAATTGATATGTACATACCAAAATCTTGGTAAAACCTGGTTAAGAAAAACATAATAATCCAAAAACATCGGTGCATTCAAATTTTACAAAGTTGCACATGATTTGATTTGTATTTATTTCCTAAATAATTGGATAATGTTTGATTTTAAATGTCAAGATGAACCGTTGTTACCAAAAAGTGGATAGGATTTTGAATGTATATCCCGTCTAAATTTTAATTTTATTTTAAAATAAAAATTACACGTGGTTTTATCCAATTTGCACACATTGTTTTTAAAAAAAATATTCAAGAAGATTAGAAGAATTTGTTAAAAATTATATAATCATTTATTTCTTAAATTTCTATCCAATTTGCACGGTTTTTAAATGAATTTGTATTTGGATTTCTTTTCATGAATCTCCAAACTTGTTGCCAAAAAATATGATTTAGATTTTGGTAAAAAAATAAAAAATGATACGAAAAAATATGATTCATATTTTCTCATAAGAATCTCCAAATTTGTCACAAAAAATAGGATTTAGATTTTGTTACTAAAGATCTAAACGTGTTTTTCTCAAAATTTCTACTAATAGTAAGTCAACTCATTTATTTGTTTGGTCAAAGTTACTAAAAAGGATCTTACCAACAACCTTTTTAAATTAGTATAGATCTCAAATATGTAAAGAAACTGACTCAATTTGTATGAAGTTAATTAAATGAAGTCCATACTTAAAAAATGCTGAATCAGGATTTTTCTGTTATTTTGAGTTCAAAATCATAAAGAAATTGAAGCCAACACGTCTCAAGTTAACTAAATTTTGCTATTTCGTGTTAAATTTGCTAAAGAATTTTATGTCTGTAGATATGAAGTTTGGATTGATATCGATGCAATAGGAAACTAATTTGCAAAAAGAAAAAATGAATATAATTTATTAGGGATAAAATTGTGTTTTCAAAATTATAATTATTTTAGCAACGTAATGCATGTATATGCATTCCTTTTATATTCCTTTTCTTTCTTAAGCAATATGAAACAATTTTTTAAATTAAAGGAATATACAATGGATTTTATTTTTCTAATTTTTATGACTTCTTTTTTAGGAACTCCAAAATTATTTTGCTATATGTAGTAAATCTTATTCTAGATTTAGTAAGTCATGACTGGCAAAAGACCAAAATTACTATTCACACTCTGCTCAAAAGTACCAGTTAACATGTAGAAAAAACATAAACTGTGATTACCAACCAACCTCTTTATGCCATTATTTACAACATAAACATAAGAACTTAACATAGTAACTTAAACCTCTGCTATGTGGATTATTTTCATCTGATACATACATGTTCTTCATCCATTTGCTTCACCATTTTGCTATATGCATAGTGATAGTGCTACCAAAATCTGTCTTAATTCATGCTCAAGTAATCAGACATGACTTTCCCACCGTGCTTCTCATCCCGTCTATCAATAAGCACCACGTCGAACCCAATGCTCCTATGAAGAAATAGGCCTTTGTCGCCATCAAGAAGTTCACAAGTGGGTAATTACTGCTCGTCTCTTGACCAAGGCTCGATTCGTAAGCTGCCATCAACATGTTCCTCGTTTGTCGCCTCACGTTTGTGTAGTAAAATTTCTGGTGCCACTCGTAGGATTTAGATCTATCCATCGCATCCTGATGAACTTCAATGAGTCAGATCCAATTTTTTAATCAACAGATAATTATTTTTTATCTCGGATTTCAAAAAAAAAAAAAAAGTTACGAATTTTACGCAACCTGCATAGAAAGCCACACATTCTTGAAGTGCGAGAAGCACGCCCGGACTTTGTTCGCCAAACGCATTATTCTTCAAATCCGAAAAGGTCATCTCACACGCCTTGTCTCCCATCCTGACGTGAATGCTCAACAACTGCCGAGGGACCCAGAGGTTGTGATTAGACCACACAAATTTTTCCATATCATGCTCATTTCTTCTCAGATTCTGCAAATAATAAATATACACTACAAAATAATAATCAAACATAATTTTGTCATATATCAAAGGTTAAGTTGAGCAGCAGCTGGAGCTATGTGTATCTTAATAAGACAAAATTCAAATTAAATGCAATAATGGTGAGCTGAACCTCGGAGGATAACTCGAGGACCATTTTTGCAGCTTCACGTCCAAAGGCACTGTGGCGGGCCTTGTTCATAATGTTGCACGTGTACTTGGTCTGAAACCTCATCAGGTGTCGTATAACCTAAAGAAGATGATAAAGATTTATTTTCACTCCTTTTTGTCCTTTTTTTTAATAAGAAAGTCGAATATTTATCAATAAAGTCGCACTTCACCTGAGCTTGCCGCCATCTACGATCCATTTTTCGATGACGAACAATCAAGGTTCTGTTAATCTCGATGGTTGGTTGCATGCTACTCCAAGGACTGCCTCATACCCTGAAAAAGTGTCACTACATTTTGTCACGGCATATGCCCCTTTTAAGAAAGATTTATCTACTCACACGTAAAACGTTAATCATACCTAGGTATCCTCCTGGACCATATGTCTTTTGAAGTATAGTTCTCTTTTCCTGTAATAACACATGTCTGCCATGCTGCCTTACCGTTCACAAGCTCGTAAGCTCATTTTCTGCATTCAAATGAGGTCTGGAAAAAAGAAACAGGACCAACTTGAACGTGATGACCCTAGAGAGAGAGAGAGAGGTAAAAAAAAAAAGAGTAGTTCGAATTTTTTAAGTAGTTCAAATCAGAAAATGCAATTCAAATACTTTGAACAAAATGTGACACTAATATACTACCTTTGCAATCGTCATGATCGGCTTTGTTATAGTAACCGGTAACTAAAACCCTCTTCTCGTTTATTGCAATAGCAAGTAGGCCACACATTCTGGCTAGCTGTGCTCCAATACCAAATCCAGACAAATTTTCCAGTCGGCCACTAAAAACTTCACGCCAACAACACTCCAATCTCAAAGAACTCCACTTCAAACACCTCTCACCACAGAAAAGGAGAAAAAAAGAAAAGACTAATAAATTATTGTTGGTATATTTTTACATAACAACATAAATTAGTAGCAAGAATATTTTCACCCATCACCTGAATCAATTCATGCTTACATGATTAACATATTTTGGGATACAGAAATAAACCATGTTTTTTTAACAATAGCAAAATCACAAAGAGGAGCTAAAAGACGAACTGAATTTCACCTTATCAAAGTTATCCCCCACTCAAGATCATTCTTTACACCAATTAAGATAACTGTGGATGAGCAGCAAGAATCTAATCATGACCAACATAAACAAATTCTAGTGACAATTGAACAATTATAAACCCACTAATTGTCACAACATAACACAACCGAAGTATGTGAAGAGACAAAATAGAGTTGAACATGTCCAACAACAAAGAAACCAAAGACATAGGGCACAATAAAAACCTATTAGTGTTCGAGTTCTGAATCTTAGGCAGCGACCCCACCGAGAACTCATGCGTAAGTGAACGACGACCCTGAGAAGATAAAAAAATCGGGTAGGATCTGAAACCAACATATTTTACAGGAATATAATGCTTATCAAAGAACAAATAACGAAATACTAATAGGTTCAATATATGCTAAACATTAAAGGGTGAAATGGAAAAGTTAAAAGAGAGTAAAAAAACACAGCAAAAATACCAGCAGAATCGACGTTGTTTGGGTTCTCCTTCTACAGTCCACCCTGCAAAAACCGTGGCTGCTCTCTGCTAATTTTTTCGCTTCAGTTTTCAACTTTGACAAATTACAGACAAAGACAGGGATTGAAAACACTAATTCGCAGCTCGAAAATACTCGAGAAACTCAGATCATCCACGCTCTCAAGGTACACTCTACATTCTCTCTCTCTCTCTCTCTCTCTCTCTCTCTCTCTCTCTCTCTCTCTCTCTCTCTCTCGCTCTCAAGAGACTCGAATTTGAATTCATTTTTTTTAGAAGAATCTCTGTGTGAATCAATGTGAATCCGGATTAAATCAGAAAATAAAATATGGAGGTATCTATTTGATTGCAAATAATATGGAGATATCTATTGATTGCCTAAAAAACAGGAACTAAAATTGACGCGTGAATATGGAGGTATCTATTTGATTGCCTACAAAACAGGAAATAACAGAATGAATGGCAATTAAAAGATATGTATGCCTTAATAAACGGCAATAAACATTTTTTGAAATGATTCAAAACAAAAATAAAATAAAGATAATGTTTAATAGTTTTCAGAATTTATAATTGGTTCCCATAAATAGAAAGTCAATGGTGATGTTGACCAGTTTTTTAAAACTTTCCTCAAATGATTTTTTTACCTTCCTCTTTCAATTATTATAGATTTCCATAAATACTCCATATTATCTAGGAAAAAAGATAAAATAACTAAACGTCCTTATCTATTTCTTTTACTTTCCTCCTTTTTTTCTTTCTCGTCCTCGCTCCGTTTTTTTTTTTTAATTTTCTTCTTCCTGTTTCTTCTTGTTCTTCTCCTCCTCCAAACAATAATACCTAAGGAAAAAAAACAACCAAAAAGATATAAATATAAAAAAAGAGAATGACATACATAACAATTAAATTATCTAAAAAACAATAAAATTTTTGTTAATATAATTTTAGAAATTAATGACAAAAATTATGAAACAAAAAACAAGATTAGCAACAACAAAACAACAATATAACATTTCCCAAGCAACATTAAAACAACTATAAGATTTGTTAAGCAACATAAAAGTAACAATATAACATATATCAACCAACATTAAAGCAAACATCATGTTAACAATTACAAACTTAAATTTTATAAATAATATATGAGATAGTATATTTCGTAACAATAAAAAATCACTATTACAACAATCAAAACACATAAAATAAATGGCCAAAAATTTACAAACTTAAGTTTTAAAGTAACGTTAAAATCCGCATTTTTTTCCAACAACTACAAATATAAAAAACCAAACCCCTTTTGTTAAATTTTTTTGAATAAAAACTAAAAATGGATTAAAATTCATATATTGAAAAAATGATTAACATAGGTAGAAAGCTCGTTTTATATTGATGATATATGCAGAAAGCCCCAATTCAATATACCATAATCCAAAAACTCAATTCCTCAACAAAATCGAGAGCATCAATCTTCACTCAAAACTAAATAAAAAAAGAACCCAAAGAAAAACAAACCAAATAAATGGGAAAAAAAAAGACCAAATAAAAAACAATAAAAACAGTAATAAATGAAGAAAAAATGAAGATCTTACAATAAACAAACATGGAAGTTGGTCGGGTCGACGGACGTCAGGCGGTGCGGCAACCCGAAGAGAGCACCCGCAGTTAACGTGTGAAACAAAATTTGGAGAAGAGAAAATAAAAAATCTGGAGAAGAAGATCAACAAAAAAAAAGGAGATAGAAAAGGGGGAAGGCCGAGGATAGATAGAAAACAAACGTGGGAAAATAAAATAGATAAAAACAAACGGTTAATAAATGATAAGAATTTAAAATGTACAATATAGTAATATAATCGGGTAATTATGGAAAGACTAATCCCCTGTAGCAAAAACATAATTAAGTATTTTATAAGAGGTGGAGAGTGTCTTTAAGTCACAGTAAATGTAGAAATTGGGCTAGTGTAGTAGTCCGAAGTTGAAGCTAACTGGGCTAGAGTAGAAGTCCGAACTTGAACCTGGGTGTTTCTATACATAATGAGATAATTAGGCGTACCACGATTCTACATGCATTTATTTGCACTCTTACGAGTTAATAAAAAATATTAACAAATGAATCAAATCTTGTATTTTTTATTGCAAACGTATGCATCTCTCTCTCTCTCTCTCTCTCTCTCTCT